TTTTCGTGATTATCCATACTATCATAATCTCCGAAAATTAAATGACAATATCCACATTGATACATTTTTTGGGGGGTTAGATGAAAATGTTACGTTCTTACTGATCTGAGGGTTGCTATTAGACTACTTAAAAAATAAATATTTAGATATTTTTATACGATTTTCACTGATGTTATTTTTCAATGACAAATTCTATTGGTTGTCAGCTATCATCCGTTAACAACAGTCTGTTACCAAGAGAGATTTCGAAATAGTCTTTTTTTTTAAATACATATACAGAGTATAATAGACTCACGAAATCAATAGAATAAATAACAGTCGACATTTGAATTAACGAATACAATTTTAATTTCTTTTCTTTCTAAATTTAATCTGATAATCCATTGTTTAATATAATCGACATATTCAAAGAAAAAAAAAGAAGAATAAAAATAAAATAAGTATATCAATTTTTCATTGAGGTCTATTTTTTTATTCAATGGTTATAGGATCCTTCGTACACTTTCTTTGTTTGTTTTTTTTTAATTTCTTTTTTTCTAAATTTAATCTGATAAGCCATTGTTTAATATAATCAACATATTCAAATAAAAAAAAAAAGAAGAATAAAAACAAAATAAGTATATCAATGTTTCATTGAAGTCTATTTTTTTATTCAATGGTTATAGGATCCTTCGTACACTTCCTTAGTGTGTTTTTTTTAAAAAATAAATTGGTTATAACCTGTCAAATATCAGTAAAAATTATTCTCTTTTTTTTAAGTTATCATCCATGAATTAAAATTATAAAATTAATGTATATAAGACAGATTATAACATATTTATTTTATTTACTCTAGTGTAAATCAGAATCATTCCACTATATACAAAAGATTTCCCATATTACATGATCACATCAAGTAACAACACTTTATTTTGTTATTTCTTGTTTCATTTCATTTTTCTTTGTCATAATATTAACGTAGATTCATTTCATCAGTCTCCTCATTCATTTCATCAGTCTCCTCATTCATTTCACCAGTCTCCTCATTCATTTCATCAGTCTCCTCATTCATTTCATCAGTCTCCTCATTCATTTTACAACCATTCTTTCATGAAGCCTTTTTCCAACTTCACATATAGTTTTAATAATAACACAAACAAAATATTATCATTTTGAGTTCAACTTTTTTATTCTTTTTCGCGATATTACAATGAAAACGCGATTCTTTTCTTCTTTCTACAAAATAAAAAAAAAGACATATAGTACACAATTGAATATATGTATGTGTGTTTGTGTGTGTGTGTGTGTGTATGTGTGAGGAGTGTGCGTGTGTGGCTCCCCCATACTGGGGACCTGCTACAGATACGCAAGTCGTAAAATGGGGACATCAAAAACATTGGGGACTTGATTTAAGTCCCCAAACTTTTTTATCGTTGAAAACGAAAAATTGACATGTCTAAATCCTAAAAATATCAAAAAAATAATGTGTCCCAGTTACGGGGTTTTATCGGACACATGATTACACAGATATCGTGTTGATTGAAATCGCCATCTTCACTTACACATCTCTGACGTTACACACTTCTAGATTACGCATGCGCGTGTGTAAAAAAAGCGGAAGTCCAATTGTTTGAAGCGGGATACAATAAACATGTGGAAAAGAAGACACAGAGGAAAGCCTGGGCACAGAATCCTAGATTCTTTTGATAAGGATGATTTTTATGCTGGAAAACGGTATGTTATCTACTTCTTGGATAAAATATATGGTTCGAGGAAACTTGCATCAAAGTATTGAAGGGGGGGGGGGGGGGGGGCAGTGACGATTGCTGCATAGGCCTATCGGGTACCCAGTTGAAATGAAAAGACAATTATTTATGCGATTTTCTTTCTTGAAATAGTACACAATTTATGCTATTCATTTCACAATGATTTAAAATTCATCAAATGAAAGGTATATTAATCGAATGTGTTTTGTATTTCATGTCAACATGAAATGACCTTTACTAAGTTTTAACTGAACTAAATCCAGTCCACTTTAATTAGAGAAAATGGAAATGTAGTTTGTATGTGTGAGTTTTTTTGAGCCAATTGTGGGATCGGGTTGTACCACCCCACCCCACCCCACCCCCTTCTTCTTGAGATCTGCAACTTATTGTTTTTAAAGCAAAACCTAAGATTGGGTTGTACCAAACACCTCAACAACCCACCCCCTTTTTCTTGAGCTCAGCAACCTATTTCTGGTGTTGTTTTCTTTTCATTTTTTAAAGCAAAAAGTGAGATCGGATTGTACCCCCCCCCCCCCTTTTACTTGAGAGAGAACATATACAGTGTAGTTATCAATTCAACATATATATTTTACTTGTCCTATAATATATAGACATTACTTAATACAATAATAGCCTATCTCAATTTTACTCATAATGCACTTATTATCTACTGCTAAAGAGCAAATAATTGAATATTAAGTGTATATTGTTTTCATGTTGTTTATATTAAAGAAACTTGGGCTGAAGCATCTTTTAATTTAAAAAGCTACCACATTAAATTACTTATATGACAGTACAATTCATTAAGTGACAATTATATTTTCCACATTTTTCTTAATTATTATCATTTTACAGCATTCTTTTAAATAAAAATCACATTTGATCTCTCTAAGGGCCTGTACAGGTTATGGGCATTGGAATAAAAATGCTCAGAAAGGAAATATGGATAAAAATGTACGTCTTGAAAAAATTTTATTAGTGAATTTTTTTTTCATATAATTATTATCCTTAAACATGTTAAAAGATATAGAATTAAACTAGAATATAAAAATCATGCAAACTTGTGTTTATTAGATTTTTTTAATCAGGTCATTATATCCTAAAGCAGGACATTATACCCCTGGCCCTGTCGTTTTTATTATGTCCAATAAAAATTTTATATATTTTATTTTGCATTTTGCCACGATTCTCATAGAAGATAACAATATTTATTATTTCCAATAAAAATGATATTGTGTATGCACCAAAATTGACAAAAAACTATTTATTATAATCAGTCAGGACATTGTACTATAAGGGCATTATACACTTCCGGTGTAAACAGCTTACTCAGGAACTGAGGAAGCAGGTAAGGCATGGTTTGGACTGAAAAAAAACCCACGTCCTTGTTTGATTCCTTGAAACGATTGTGGAATTATGTTCTGGAGACTTAAAGTCTGTACAAAGACACACTACTTCAAAGTAGTTTCATGTCGACCGCTTTATACCTGTTAGACAGAATCATGGATAAGCCTTTCCGAATTCCCTCTGTTTAATTCTCCTTTCACTGTTAGTGTGTTTGTTTATATACAAACAGCTTTGAAATTGAATTTTTAAGAGATCATATTCATTATAATTTTATATCATATGATATGATCTTTTTTAAAGCAGGGTGCAATGTATTCAATTTTTGTATCCTTTCTATCAGAAAAGTCATAGGCTATAATAAGAATCATTTGACTTGTTTAATGTATTGTGGTAGTTTATTTATGTATTCTTAAATTATTTCATTTCAATCCAGATGTAAATTATCTTGCTTATATTTGGAAACACCCACTTTTATGCGACCATCAGATCGGGGAGGAAGACGACTGGCTTAATTCTCTATAGCTACACTCTTCACATACTAGAATCATCTTTTTCAACTTGTCCATCTGTTTATATTGCTTTTATAGTTTATATTTTGGTTAGACTATATTTTGGTAGGGGGTAAATTATGTACATTGTACGTACATTATAGCAGTTTTCTGTAAGACTTGTAATAAATTTGTAAAGTCGGAATACCAATATTGACCTCATAGAACAACACCTACATGTAGTATCGCGAGTACCTCACAGATATAAATTCTTACTACCGCTCTTTTGCAAGGGAGTAGAGAAGGCTCTAAATCTCACAATTTAGATTTCTGGGGTATAACAATGCTTACACTAGTGACAATCAATAAATATAATTATGATTCAAACAATCATGCCGAAAGTACAGTGAATTGCCAAGGATTGAACTCTAAATAGTACAAATGTAGCTAGATTATCAAATAAGGAAAGTTAAAGTATTTATGAAGTAATGATGTTCAATGAGAATTTAATGAGAAAAGTCCGCTCTAAAGAGAAAAGTAATTGTTAAAAATGTAACATATGAGGATAAGCTCCTCTCTCAGATTTATTAGGCTGGTTAAGCATATGTTTAGCAAGATATTTCACTAGGATTTCTTTCTTACTGTCTGCAGGATTATTTTTGCACCATTTAATTTTTGCCCTTTCACACTTGCAAACAATTTTGCCCATTCATAGTTTTATTACAGAAATTATATGTATTGTTTCATTTTGCCCTGTTTTAAATTTGCCCAAAAGGGGCGAAAATAAAATGGGAGCGAAAATTTTCCTGTATACAGTATTTGTCCTTGTAAATTTCATATTTTGATCTGATGATTCCCACCTGTCAACGAGACGTGATACAGCTCTTCAGATCAAGTTACTGTTATAATGACATGTTTATTATATACCCCGTTACAACTAGTAAATAAATGTATATTTAAAAAATATGCAAGAGAAGAATTATGTCAATTATGTAACATTAATCCATTACATGGAAGTTTTTGATATGCAAGAACAATAACGTTATGTTTCTGCATACTAAGTCTTCAGTTTCCGAGAGTAGTGGAATGGATTCAGAAAACCACAGTGTGGTGATCTGCAAAGTTTGAATGTCACCTGATTGCGTAAAATCAACATTAAAATTAGGCTTGAGTATCACAAGCTTCCTAACGATACGATACATAACATGATATGGTCATGTGATACAACACGTATTGTGATACACTAGGTGTCATTAACAGTTAAATTAACTGATATGCTTATATTCTTGCTCACTAACCCCCAGTTATAGAAAATATAAAAAATATCTTACCTAACCAAAGTTATTTATAGGCCAACTTATAGTCTTAACATTGTATTTTTTTATACTACCTTGTTTTCAGTCATTTTTGTAGCTTTAAAAGTTCTCAGTTTGCATTAAAAGTTCTCAGTTTGCATGTAAAATTTTTTAATAAGACAATGAAAATTAACTTGTACTGTATCACGATACATACATGACGATACGATATACATATCGTGAGGCCTTGCGATCAATACAATCGATGTATCGCTGTATTGTTACACCTCTAATTAAAACTGAGTGTTACACTGTTGGGTATATCTATAATGCAACCTACATTAAGTACATACAACAACACATGATATCAGAGTCTAGACACACCTAATGTCACATGACATTTGACAAGCCCATCTTATTAAAAAAATAAATCAGTATCTGAGCTCATCCTAATGGTTGCATCGTCAACATATTACGAATTAATAGGATGATTTTCTCCTATAGTTTGGACTTTCAGTAGCATGGCATTCTCGGCGCTACGTAATGGTGAATACTAGTAGATTCTTATTGGTTAAGAAATTATAACATCAAGAACTTAAAATTATTGTTGACAACGATGAGGCGACTTATGCCTCACCTCTGTGCCGTGTGAGAACTTTTGATTGGCAATTTACTACACCAGTTGACATTTGGCCGCATTTCTATCATATGTATATTTCAACAGTGAAGGGAAGCAGTGTAAATTTCAGAAGCAAATTAGGTAACATCGAGAATGCCACACCTTACTGAAAGTCCAAACTAATCGTATAATGGTCCTATTTCTCAGGTATTTTGATTGTATGATATCCAACATTTTAGAAATCACAAAATTCTATACTAATATTAACATTACATTTGGCGTGCATTCTTTTTAGCACTTTGGGGGGAAAGAAACTTCCGCTAAGTCAAGTACAGTATGCTGAATGTCTTGCACATATGTTCATAATTAAGAACTTTATGAAATGCACTAAATCAAATCTATACGCTAACTTGCTCAAAAGTCAAATATTATATTTTTATTACACACTTAGTGATAAATACAGGTTTTTTGCATATTGCAATATGGCTGCATGATGTCACAATAGCTGTATCAGCCCTGCAGGGCTGATATGGATTTGCGGGGCTGATAACCTATATCAGCCCTGCAAATCCATATCAGACCTGCAGGGCTGATACGGCTATTGTGACATTAATATCACACCCTTAATAAATTTAATTAAACCACAAAAACAGTACTTGTGATCATACACAATTTTTGGTGGGTTCATATTCTTGTAATTTTAACTTTTTGAAAATAAAGATTCTTTAATCTTAATTTACAAATACATGTAATAGATTATTTTCAAATTACGGATCGAGTGCATTGAAATAGAAGTAGAAACAAACCCAAATCGTATGAGACAATAGACCATGTACATATAGTATGTTAGTTTACTGAGGCCGAAGGCGATTCAAAAGTCAGCCAATTTATTCATTGTTATTAAATGTTATTGAATTTCCAAATGTTTGACACGTTTGTTCTTGTCTCCAACAAATGTATACACTCGTGATTTAAAGCATAGTGTAATAACACATTATGATAAGTGTTGGCAAATCGGACGATTTTTATTAAGCGGTTACTCGTTTCATCTTCCGATCGAGTACCCGGTTACTCGGATGATTTTTGGTAAAAGCATCAATATCTATTATTTATCTTTTTCTATACTTATCGGTATAGTAATCTGCAAATATACTGTATATGGACATAATATTTACAACACATATGATATCATCAAAGATTTACTGTTTTAAAATAAAGAAAATAAGGAAGTCGACACACGGAGAAGACAAATAAATATGTCATTGTCAATCACCATTTTACACTTTCCTTTTCAGCCCCCGAAATATGTCGCAATCAAGGAGAATAATTATTTACATACTCCATAATTAATAGTCAGTATGTGGAGTTTCCAGTAAATCGCTGGTTTCCGAATATTTTAAGATTAGGTGATTTAACAGATTTTGAATCAGCTGTTCTTCTGGTAAACTCCAAGCTTATTATGTCTGCGACGGCATCTTGTTAAATTATCAAATGAGGTAATTATAACTCAGGTCTTCAAAAGATATATACCCCAGGCGATCAAAGCTATCAATTATATAAACTGTGAAAACTAATCAAAACAGTTTGATCCACTACAACCATGCACTAGATCAAGTCTAATGGTATCTAAAATTAGGGAAATGTGTAATTTAGTATACCGGTACATTTATAAATTATTAAACATTTATTTCTATGCCTTTACTATGGAGAATTCATTTTATCCAAGCAACCGAATAGCAGTTTTACTAACCGATACTCACATCGTTCGACAGTTAACCAGTTAACTGGGTACTCGTTGCCAACACTTAGATTTATGATTGTAATTTATCAGCTACTATCATATTTTAAAAGTGGAAAAAAATATTATTAAACAATAGATACTCAACTATTTACTAAGAAAGTAGTTTAGTGCATTGGTATCTAGCATGGTAACATTTGCAATGACACATGTTTTAAAATGCCCAATTTGATTGGTCAAAAAATGTTAGCAAATCTATGGTTGGTCAACATGGTCAAGAGGGAAAACCCAAAAACCTCCTAGAACTTTAATTTGAAGTGAACTCACTCTGAGGTACACCCCAAAAATGCCCAAGGAAAAGGTGTCTAGTCCAACCAGAGAGCACCCTAATCCCTGATCATTTAATTTCTATGCTTCTTGTATAGGAATGGGAACTCAATAGTATTACAAACTTTTACTTTGAGAATAAAATTGATAAATTTCTGTATAAAAATGCTTTTACAACATGTATTTAAGATTTGTTCCTACTTTTAAAAAAATTCCAATACATTCTGAATTTAATTTATAATTTTTTTTGTTAGAATGTTCAAGGCAACCAGAAGCTTGAGTCCATCCTGAACATAGAGACAACACAGATATTAGCCAAGCTAGATATTGCTAGAGGATTAGTCAATGCAATTCAGCAAGGACTAGTGATGGATATGTTCCAGGTTCCACAGCTAGGAGAATGTCAGGAAGAAAAGCCTCATCATTAAAAGTGTTACAGGTGAATTATTTAGGAATTTAAAAAAATAAATAGGATAGATAAAGATTCACCAGGGAATGAATTTTTTGTTGGTTCATGATCACATCTATTGAGAAGCCAAAGGCAAAAGTATTGCATGCAGTAAATATTGTTTGGATGTAATCACACTTATATCATTGTATATAAATAACCTTTATCCGTATTGATAAATATTTTGAATTTATTTCAGATAATATAAATCTAAATTCATTACTTTGTCAAATTATATTTTCGTTTCCAATGTCTTTGTTCAAGAGACAATTACAAATAGTCAAATGAATGCACTTTATTTCTCCATCAATATACTGGTTCATTGATAGGTGCTGCTAAAAAAAAATCACGTGCAGGGCGAAACAAATATAGAGACAAGAAGCAGGGCTTGTAGCATGTTTATTGGCGGAATCAATGAAACACAAATATAGAAAAGAATAACTGTCATTTTCAATTTCATGACAATGATCAATGGTATCTGCTTGCATGATAACTTTATGCATAAATGCCTTCTGCATTTATGCAAATTATCACGCCAACCAATTGATTGATCACATCATGAAATCGAAAAATAAGACAGTTATTCCTTAAATAACATTTTTATTCATTTATTTAATACATGTTGTATGAATTTTGCCAGCATCTTCAGATGGTGAAATGTCAAGCAAAAAGTGCATTCCAAGCCCTCAAGAAGTTGTGTCAAGCCCTAGTCGTGAAGGCATTCCAGATCTAAAGAGTAGAAATGGACCTATATGTATGGTTTTATTGATGAAAATATGCCATGCCCCAGTGACAAAGGTGAACCAGTTTCTAAAAATGGAGATGAAGCTTGACCCTGGAAAGAAAGCATGTCTGTCTCTAATGATAGAGATGTGACTTTATCCAGGGACTGAGATCTGCCAGTTCTAAATGAAGGAGATTTGCCAGGTGCTGATATTACTGATATCCTACATGTGGGTCCCATCTGCTCAAGGTTCCAATAGTGAAAAATCTTGGTTAGGAATGAAGTGTCATCAGGTATTGCTTCTATCAAGAATCTTCTTTCTTTAGAATTAATAAGATTAAAGCTTAAATTATTAGGGCCCGCAAGGATTTGCGGGTGCCCTGTAGTAATCACTCTGTCTGTCCGTCTGTCTTCTTCTGTCCACAAATTTTCTGTTTTTTCCTAATAACTTTTTTTATGGTAGCCCAATTAAGTTCACATAGGAAAATTTTTTTAAAATCTTCTTCTCAAGAACCACTGGGCTGGGAAAGATGAAACTCATGTGAAATTATCCTCAGGTAGTGTCGATTCAAGTTTGTTCAAATCATGACCCCCGGGATAGGGTGGGGCCAAAATGGCCGATCAAAGTTATATATATGAATATATAGGTAAAATATTTAAAAAATTATTTTAAATAACCACGGGGCCAGGAAAGATGAAACTCGATGAAATCATCCACAGGTAGTGTCGATTCAAGTTTGTTTAATGATTAACTGACCCCGGGGGTAGCAGGGCCAAAATGGCTGATCAAAGTTTTACATAGGACTAGATAGGGAAATCTTAAAAAGTCGTCTTCTCAAGTACTTCAAAGCCATGATTAGTGATATTTATGTTGAAACATCCTTAGGTAGTGTAGAATTAAATTTGTTCAAACCATTATAACGCCTAAGGATAGGGTTGGGCCACAATGGTGAATCAAAGTTTTACATAGAAAAATAAAGATAAAAAATCCCAATAACATAAAAGCTATGTTTAGTCATATTGACATGTAAGCATCCTCATGTATTAAGGATTTAAATTTATTCAAATCATGGCCCTTTGGGGCAAGAACTGGAAACAATGGGGAATCAAATTCAAATTATTATGAAGTTATATATAAGAAGAAAATGTTTTTAAAAAAATCTTTGTATCAAGAACAGTAAAGTCATATGCTGTGTTTATATGAAGGCATTGTCAAACATTACAGGGTTAGCCTGGACAAACTCATCTAGACCATGCTTTCTGGCTCGGTCAGCATCTACAAGGGACATTTATATAAAGTTATTCCATTTACTCACTGATTGATACTTACAAAGAGCAAAAATATATATAGATTTTTCATGTTTTCTTCTAAAATCTAACCTGTTCTTTCAAGGAACATGAAACTTGGCATTTCACTGAAATTCCACAATCAAGATGATTATGGGATTGTAATATTGTAAAGATATAAACCTTCCTGTGAATTTGCATTGGACTTTGGCCAAAAAAAAAAATTGCAATCCATTAATCATTCAAAAACGATTGATGAATAATAATTTAAATAACTAACCTCCCTGCATGCGAGAGATCTGAGTGTTGGATATTTTGCTGGTCTGCACAACAGGGGGCACTGGTTTGTGGGTTTGCCCTGTTGCTCTATAAATAGCCTGTACCCAGAGTGTCCTTTCATTTTCATCATCCGTGGCAAAGGTAACATTGTCACCCTCCTTGACACAGTTGAAGAAATATTTCCCTCCTAGACCCTCAGCTTCTGGTGGAGAAAAACAAAAACTGTTTGATGTTTTATCACAAGATAGTCATAAAATTGATCTATAAATTTAGAGACCCACCCGAAGAACCACCCCACTATGCACAAATATCATAGAGAGGCAATGGCAATAAAATGGCCAGACTCTGACAAGAGACACCAGTTCTAATATCAAATGGGCTCCAGATGGAAAATGTACAAATCCATATTTCATTACAACAGTTTATTACTAATCAGTGCTTTTGGTGCCTGGTGATAAAGTAAGACTTCACTGACAGCAAGTTTACTCTATAAGTTCTTTTTTCTACTAGACACAAGTTATTAAATACAGACTAACCTGGAATTTGTTCACAGTAATCTACCGTAAATCCGTCAAGCTGCATCATTTCTGTGGGATCAGGCTTTTTCTCTCTGTAGCTACACATGGCAAATGTGTACTGCGACACCTGATTTAAATATTTATTACTGCAATAGCTTAAAAGTGACAAGTTAAAGAAAACAAGAAATAAACTTTTATATTTACATTTGCCAATGTCTTTCCTTATATGACATTATGAATTAAATTGACAACTTTCCATGAAATCTAGTTAATCACAAAATCAGACTTTAGTGTGTATGAATATATACTGTAGATCACTAAATTTTCGCGACACCATATTTTCGCGAGATAGTTATTGACTCTTGATTAGCGAGACAAAATTTTCACAAATTATGGTTATTGCTCTATATAATCTTAAGGAATACTATTATACGCGAGAATTTAAATTTCGCGAGCACACAAGAACAAACACAAAATGAAATTGACAAATACAAATCTTTGACAAGCAATTTACTCTTCTGGGATCAGCATCTCTCTTTTTTGAAAGTGATGTGCTCAAGTTTTTTTTTTTTTTTTTTTTTTTTTGTTTCATTAAACTAGTAGTAGTAGTAGTTTAATTTAGCTATAATATGAGGAAAATTCTCAAAGAACTTTGCGTAAAATGTTGTTTTTTCCCCTTTTGTTTTGTAATTTTTTTTTGGAAGGAAAGAAATGTTTTGAAATTTAGGTTGGATGCTAAACAAAGAAAAAAACTTGGAATGGCCTCA